CCCTACTAGGAATAGGCTTTCCCTTGATATCTAAAAAATAATCATCAAAATTTCACAGCAACTTAGTATTCCTTATTGACAGCGCTGGATGCACGGGGGATCCTTCTGCCTAACGTGCATACCGTGTTCTAGATTAATCTCCCATTATCAATTCTTATCACGGAATGGTTTGGGTTGGAAGGGACCTTAAAGATCATCTAGTTCCAACCCCCCTGCCATGGGCAGGGACACCTTCCACTAGACCAGGTTGCTCCAAGCCTCATCCAGCCTGGCCTTGAACACTTCCAGGGATGGGGCATCCACGCCTTCTCTGGGCAATCTGTTCCAGTGCCTCACCACGAAGAATTTCTTCCTAATACATAACATAAATCTGTCTTATTTCAGTTTGATATATATGCTATACTTTAAAGATAATGTAGTTTTAAGTCCTACACAAATACTTGACTGTGGCTTACAATCTTTTTAAACTAATTTAAGACAGTGTCATCCTCAGAAGCAATGCCATCTTCCCTTGCTAGCTACAGGCTAAAGCCTCCTGCTCTAAACACGGATGAACCGTTTGTTCTTGTACAACCCTTGATGTCTGTGGATTATCAATCCGCACGCAGACTAGCCCCATAATGCTAATTTTCAGCTGAATCTACAAGACAGCCCTTCAGATGCCCAGGTCTATATAGAAAGGACTGAAACACATGTCAGAGGAAGCTGTCCTGTGTGATCACCTCAAGCTATTTTACCTACTTGTTAGCTATTTGCTTGCCCTGTAGCTCCGTGTATTTGTACTTTTACTATGCTTTTCACAGTTTCACGAATCCATCATCACACCCATTCATTATTTCAAATATAGTTACACAATTTAGCACCTGAAGACACTACAGCAGAACTCATTAAATGTCCTCAGGTAACTTACTACTGCCAGGCTAAGCCCTGCAGCCACACATCAGTGACTGAATTTTAAGCAGTCTGTGTTTACATGACTTTTTAACTATAACCATTCAAGGAAGAACACACCCAGTTACGCTTTTCAAAATGAAAACATTTTATCCCAAATCCTCATCAAACGCAGGCTTACAAGCTCACCAGTCCTTAAAGTCATCCTTATGTACTTAAAAGAGCAGCACTGGGGCCCAACCTGCCCTCCGCTGTGAGGAAAGGTGGTTTGTGACCGCAACCTGCAGCTACAAGGGCCTGTAGTGACAGGACAAGGGGTAATGGGTTTAAATTGAAAGCGGGGAGGTTTAGATTAGATATCAGGAATAAGTTCTTCACGGAGAGGGTGATGAGGCACTGGAACAGGTTGCCCAGAGAAGCTGTGGATGCCCCATCCCTGGAAGTGTTCAAGGCCAGGCTGGATGAGGCTTTGAGCACCCTGGTCTAGTGGAAGGTGTCCCTGCCCATGGCAGGGGGGTTGGAACTAGATGGTCTTTAAGGTCCCTTCCAACCCTAACCATTCCATGATTCCATACCCAGGACAAACACGCCGCTAACAGCTCACCCAACGCCTGATCAACACAGCGCCCAGAAAGGGAACGGCCCGACATGAGAGCAGAACACATCCCCCCGGCCCTCTCACCCCGCCGCCGGGGCCGGTACTCCCAGCTGGCAGCTCAGCAGCGGTCACC